CCTGACCGAAACAGGCCGAGCGCGAGGAGGTTGCCCTTCCCACGCAGAACACGCGCAAGGCCCTCGGCCGCATCCCACTCAGCAGTGCTCAGCGCCTTAGCGCTCCGCCCACGCGGCGTGCTCAGCCGCGTCAGCCACTCGAGACGCTGCTGCGAAAGCGACGCGGACGCGTTCTGCATTGCCTCGCAATGCTTGGAGCAAGGGAGGGGGAGGGCGCCCAGTCCGAGCAGGACCGCGTCGCCGAAGATGCCATCCTTTGGCACGACGTACTTGACCGTGCGAGCGGCCGGGACAGCGTCCGGAGGGTCGGCAGCCACGTCGGCGATCTGCACGCGCGATGCCGACGAGAGGGCGACGGGCGAGGGGGACCGGGCGGTGACGTGGGAGGGGGCGAAGGTCTTGCCGCCGCCGCCGTCGTCGTCGGTGGGAGCCGCGTCGGTCGTGTCGTCGGCCGGGAGCTCGACCAGGGCGGCGCCTGACGCGACAAAGTAAAGGCCCGCCTGCGCCGCGCCGCGCCGGAGGAGAGGCTGCCCGCTGCGCCACGGCTCCTTCTCCATCTTGTCGGCGAGCTTGCGCAGCACCGGCTCGGAGAGCGGGGCGAAGGCGGGCACCCGCTTGAGGAGGCGGACTGCCTTGCGCCGCTGGACTCGCTTGAGGAGGGACATGGCGCCCTGTGCCGTGTTGAGGCGCCGGAGGAAGCCGCCACCCTCGTTCAGCACCTTGTTGAGGCTGGCGAACATGAGACCGCCAACGATACCCATCCCGATGCCGTAAAAGGTGATCTTGACCCCGTTGTTGTCGGACGGGTCTCCGGGGGCTTTGGCCTGCTCGTGCAGCAGCTCTCCAAAGAGCTCGATCGTGACAGCCTGGATGAGCGCGCCGCCGCCAAAGGACATCAGAACGGCGCGAGTCGTGGGTCCCGGCAGCCTCACAAGCCCGACGGCGCAGCCGAGGAGGACGGAGCACGAGGAAAGGAGGCCCCAGCCAAAGGCTTGCACGGTGACCGACATCGAAAGGCGAGCGAATGCAAGGCCCCGGCTAAGGTCCCCCCCCCCCACCGAGACGCCGGCTTCACAGAGAATACTGACAAATAGCAAGGCGCTGTGAATATATTGGGATATACTGGGGTATATTGCACCCCTGGAATATACTCCAATATTGCGCACTATTGCGCAATATACGGAGATATTGGAGGAACATCTTCCAGCCGAATACTGGGATATATTGGAGTATATCTCGGCGCCGCCAAGCACCTCAATCCTTCCGCAATATATTGCAATATACAGCAGTATATCCCAATATACTCACAGCTTGCTTGCCCCATTATTGGCTTATAGTTCGCAATACTGGGATATATTGCTGTATATTGCCGAATACTGCTGAATACTGCTGAATACTGCTGAATACTGCTGAATACTGCTGAATACTGGAGAAAGTCGGGGGACGTAGAGTGGTCCGTGGCGCGTCGCAGCCTGCGGGGCGTGGCTCAAACGACCCCGTGGGGGTAGTTGAAGGATCGTAAGGCGCCGGGTTGGATGGCTGCGGTCTTGCGCTGAATACTGCAATACTGCTGAATACTGGAGAAAGTCGGGGGATGTACAATGGTCCGTGGCGCGTCGCAGCCTGCGGGACGTGCTCACACGCCGCCGTGGGGATAGTCGAAGGATCGTAAACACACAGGCGCCGCGTCGGGTGGCTGCAGGTCGTGAATAAGAGCTATCTGATGTCCAGCGCGGCTCGCACACCAGTCACCACACACAGCATGTGCAAAACCATGACAGTGTCCTCGCGGGTGCGCAGCGTGGGGTGTCCACCTGGTGGGCGCTCCTATAGGGCTCTATTGCATGCCCCCAGCAGGCTGCACCGGCGCGCTCTCGCATTCGCACAGATGGCTGACCCACGGAAAAGTGCATCGCAGGATCCGCACGTTCAGCTATGCAAAACGGCGGCAGCGGGCTGGCTGGGGCACCTAGCGGGTAAGCAGAAGGCCCTGGTGTACGGTTGCCAAGAGATCTACGTCGATCATTCCCGACGACACGCCTCTTGCTCTGCCTGATGAGAGTAGGTCTGTAGCGGAGAATGCCGTCCGGTTACTGGGCTGCAGCCCGCCATGTCCATGCAGCCTGGCAGACGCGCGCAGTAATGTCATCCGGCACGGCATCCGTTAGTAGCACGCGCCTCTGCCGTATTTTGAAGGCGACGGCTTGCGTGAAGTCATGCTGCATGCCCGCGTCCACGAGCTCTCCGGCGAGGGCATCCTCAAACTCGGGCACAACGCACACCCTCCCACGGCCGCCCACGCGGCAGAGGACCGTGCACTTAGTAAATCTGGTCTCTCCAGGAAAGAAGACGTTTGTCTGCCCGCGGTGCCACTCTGTCACCACACCTCGACGGGCGAACGCTCGCGAGCTCGGCGACGCTCATACACAGATTTGACGGCGGGCAGAAAAGAAGGAAAAAAATTCCTGCGCACAACACTGGGCAAGGGACTGCAAAAGCGCCCATCCCGCCCTCCTGCCTCGCCCTCCGCCCCTGCCCTGGCTGGCCTGGGTGGCATCTCCCCATTATCACCGGACATTTGATCGCGCGCTCCCTCCGCACATACCAGCGTTTCCACTCTTACGGCCCCTGGCCACACTGACTTGCTGCCGCGACAGACAGCCGGTCGCGGTGAAGGACAGCGAAAACGAATGGGGCGCACCGGGAGCATGCGAGCTCTTGCCTGCGGCGAGAGATTGTCTGCGGCGAGAGATTGCCTGCGGCGAGAGATTGCCTGCCGCGGCGGCGAGCTTGCCTGTGAGGAAGAGCTTGTCCCGTCTGCTTTCCTGTCCTTTTGCCTGAATGAAGAAAATAGAACTCCACGCCTCTCACGGACTTTCTTTTTCGTCTTTCCGTAAACTTCTCCGCTCCGTTGCGGGCGCGCCGCCCGCGCGCAGCCCCTCCTACCTGTCGGTCTCAGAAAGTTGCCGTGCCTAAGCGCTCGAAGTCGGAGCATATACCTCGCAGTGCCACCTACTCAATCGGCCGTGCCACCCGGTGGGTGGCACGATCTTCGCTGTGCACGCGGAGCCAGAAGGTTGAGACGTTGATGTCGAGAGGCAGGCGCTCAGGGTAGACAGGGGACATGCGCGCCCCACCGCGTGGGGCGCGCGTGTCGCACGAGCATGGTATGCTGACGGGGCGCCGGCACCCGACGTAGTGGCACGCCGCCCCTGCACGATTGCAGCAATTCCGAGGCCGTTGCTCCGCTTCGTGAACTACGCGGGAGGCCAACCAAGATGCGTTGGCTCGGCTATGCCGACGTTTGCCGTGCTCGCGTGGCACCCACTGGCACTGCTAAGAGCATCGATTCGACTTGACATCCGCCATCGCAACCGCCGCCGCGATCCCATTTTGCACTCAGGACGCAGACGCTCGCGGTCAGTCTGAGCATAGGGCCTTCCTCCATCGAGCCGTCGGACGATGAGCCATCGATCTGGCGCTCGGAGGCGACCTCTGGCCCCATCGTGCCCCTGCGCACCCGTTTGCGGCAGCACTGCTGCACCGGATCTCCAAAATCCAGCCGAGCGAATACTGCTGAATACTGCTGAATACTGCTGAATACTGCTGAATACTGCTGAATACTGCTGAATACCGGGATAGATTGGAGTATATTGGGATACATTGCTGGATCGCTGCGTATAGCCCAGGCGTACAATATATCGCAATATACTCCAATATACTCCAATATACTCTTGTTTCGCCCCGGGATTAGCTCCGGCATATCTGGAATATATTGGAATATACTGGAGACGTATCAACAGGGCGAATATATCGCAATATAAGCCAATATATCCCAATATTCTCCAATATATCCGGACCGTATGTTGCGATATATTGGCTTATATTCCACATTTCAGCTGTGAACCTTATTGTCAGTATTCTCACAAAACGCACAACTCCGGACCCAAGACCCTAGGTGTTAGATACACACGGGGGGGTGTTTGGACACACAGGATACACGTGAATCCACACTCAGTCTGGATACACAGTGGATACACAGTGAGATACACAGCCTCCGGTTTCGAAGACGAGAACGTTTTTTTTGCTGTGTCCGAAAGAGGTATTCGCCTGAGATCGCCGTCGCCGATGCCCTTCAACCCGAACCCGGATCGCGCGCGGCGCGGCGCAGGCGCGACGGCCCTTGTGCCTGCGCCGGCACCTGCGCCGGCGCCTGCCGCCACGGCCCTCGCCGCGGCGGCGCCGGCTGCAATTGTGATGGCTTAGTTTGGTTCTCCCCTAGATAGGCATGAGCGAGCGAGAGCCGGAGAGGGCGCGTGTGTAGGCAGCTTCCGAGAGTTGAGATACACTAGATACACTGTGTATCCACCCAAGTTCTGGATACACTGGATACATATCTAACACCTAGGCCCAAGACGCACAAGCACAGACAGTCGAGAAGGGGGAAAGACAGCAACGACAGTCAGAAGTCAGCGCTGGGTCCCAGGAAGGCGAATGCGATGACGGCCTCTAGTGTCGCCGGCTTCACACAAAAACACAACCCTGCATCCAAGACGCACAAGCTCAGACAGTCGAGAAAGGGATAGACCGCAACGACAGTCAGAAGTCAGCGCTGGGTCCCAGGGCGAATGCGATGACGGCCTCTAGTGCCGGCTGAGGGCCCAACTTCAGAATCGTGCTTTTTGCTTGAGACGACGACGACGATACAGTTCAGGCTTCATCGGTCGTCCCGTGACTGTCGCGCCGCCGCGTTGCACATTGGACACATGCTCTCGCGCGTGGCGGTGACGGTCGGCGCACGTGGCATCCTGAAAGGCCGCGCCTCGGGAGTCGAGCTGCCTCGACACAGCCGCGAGGGCGGACACTGGCCCTGCACGAGCCGGCTGTCGGGCGCTCTGGTGCTCGCAGCGGTGCAGCTGGAGTCGGAGACTCGACCTCCACCTCCGCCCCGCCGCCAGATCTACCGGACTGAGGGCGGCTGGAGCTGCAGCACGATCTGGAACTACGTGCTGAAGGGAGACGATTCGACCTACCTGGCCAACTTCCGCTGCACGCGGCGCCAGTTTGATGATCTCGTTGGACAGCTGGAAGCCGGGGCGCCATACATGGTGAGCAGGCTAGGCGGGCGGGGCAACCCGACACTCTTCCGACCTCGGAGCCACGGGAGGGTGCTCAAGGAAACAGAAGCGGCGGGACATATAAAAAAATAGATATTCTTACCTTCCTGCCCCCCCTCCGAGACTGGAGACACCCACACCCCAGTATCAGACCAGGGGGACTGCCCCCCGCCCCCGCTTGCCCTGACTGCACAGGATAGCGTGCCCCAATTGGCGACACATAGCGGGGGACACTGCGCAAGGAGGGGGTGCGTCGCCTTTCTTTGTCCTCTCGAGGGATCCCTCGACGCCCATGGCCTTTTTCTGAGGTTTCGTACTAATGACGTCCTTCTTGGCACTTCGGGCGTCGGTTGTGCGTATCTGTGGTGTTTATTCCCCCGGTGATGTGTTACGGGTATCGGTCGCTGAGTGGACGCTATCTCTAACCATTTGATCAACGTTTGCCGACTTCGGCCGTCGGCCTCTCGATGGTCGAGTGGCTTCCGGATCGAATCGGCGACTATGACCCTTATAATTTTTTTCACACCTTAGCGGGCCCAATTTTGCTCAGATGCACCTCCGAATTCGAAATCGCGTCCTCACGCTTAGCGCTTGGTGTGCGTCCGTTTTTCGTCACGGGTGCGCTAAATTTGCAGGTGGGACATAAAAGAGAGCGAGTACTTGGGCGAGTAGGCTGTGCGGTCAACGCTGCCGCGCGCGACTTTGCGCGCGAGGCGGCGCAGCTTGAGAACGGCGGTGGGCGAGAAGCCGCCGCCGAACGTCTCGTGGAGCAGCAGGCTGAAGTGTTGTTGCGCTTGACAAAGATCGCGTCGTGGTAGAAACCGCGATGCGCCTTGACGTAGCCGTGGCCGGTCTTGTGGGAGAAGGGTTTGTTTTGTTTTTGGAAGAGGTAGACGCCCGAAGGTGGGCGAAGGCTAGCACCGCACTTCGCTCCTTAAAATCCCTGTGTGGTGGCGGCGTGCCGTCCTCCCATCCGGCTTTTTCCTTGTTTTCTTTCTTTCCCGCAAACTTCTTTCTTTCTTCGCAGGCAGGTTTTGGGCATACATGCCGTCGTTGTCCTTTTTTCGGGGAACCTTTTTCCCCTCGTGTTGCGTGACTCTGTGCGATTTCGGGCCCGGGGTTGTGCGTTAACGTGAACAGAGTTCGCACACCGAGCAGCAGCAAGGCCCCGGTGTGCGCCAAGCACCGCCGCGGGGGGGCGTGTTAATCCAGGGCTCGCACCTCAACCTCCATAGACCAGCGCACAGCGCCATACTGTGCCGTACGAAAGTCTGTGCAGCTTGCGGAGATGACGATCCCGGCATGAGAAGGACTAACTGACGGATCCGCTCCTGACAGTCGCACGCGCCGCAGCGCGGCGCGTGCGACTGTCTTTGTTTGAAGTAAAAAGTCGAATCAGAGCGGCGTCGGCGTTGATCTCCGTTTTCCTCCCACGGACCGCCCGTCCGGCACCGCTCCGGGACGCACGCCGGCGAAGCACCATCAAGCTGCTGTACGGCCCCGGCATCGCCTCCCCTGGCTTAGCTAGAGTGAGAGATATTGTGCACATGGTTAGTCTCTACAATATATACACTGACACTTTACCTCCCACCCAGAGCTCGTCCCGGTCCGCCACGCACGGCCATCCTCGGCCTCCGGAGGGCCCCCGGCCGCGGCGCGGTGCGGCGGCGTCACAAATCCGACCACAGAGCACCGGGACGCGGTCGGGCGATCTGAGACCCAACTAGGCGTGCATTGCCCATCCAGGGCTATCACCAGGACCTATCAACTATCAACAGGCGCTGCGGCGCCGTGCTCAGGAGCTGCGCTTCACAGCTTTCGTACGGCAGCTGCGCTCTATATAATGTCGTCTCCGGCCTCGCTCGACCCGGACACCTACGCGACGGTGATCTCGAAGCTCTCTACCTCCGACGTGCTCGCGTGCGCGCAGGTGTGCACCAGGCTGCGCGAGCTGTGCGTGGCGTCGCTTCAGAGCTCGCACGCAGTCGAGGAGCGCGGCACCGGCATCACTGGCGGCGCTCTGCGGTGGCTCGCGCTGCGTCGGCTGCGCGGCGTCACGCGCATCGAACTCGTCGACTGCGGCGAGCTCACCAAGGCGAGCATCACCAGCGCGGTGGCGGGGTGCGACTCGCTGGCTTCCCTGTCCGCGCTCCGCGTCGGGCCTGGCTCGTGGGCGCTCGGGCACATCGAGAGGCTTCTCGCTGTGGCGCCGCCGAGCCTGGCGAGCGTGCGCCTCGACGTTCTGCTCGAGATGAAGAAGGACCTGCACGAGGGGTCGCACTTGCTCGCCGCCCTCGCCCGGCCGTCGCTTCGCGTCGAGAAGCTGACCCTCGTCTCGGACAACGTCTCGCGGGCCGCGGCCCCGAGCGATGCGAGCGGGGCTGAGGCCGCCACGGCCGCCCTGGCGGCGCTCGACGTCGGAAGCGACGGCGACGACGACGCGGCCGAGGAGGGCGCCGAGGGCGCGCCGTGTGCCCTCGGGCGGCTGTGCGCGGCCCTGCTGGCCGGCGGGGGCGTGGAGGAGCTCGACGCGTCGTCAGGGGCGCTCGACCTGCCCGGCGCCGCCTCGCGCCTCCTCGCGCCCCTCCTGACCGCGCGGGGCTGCCTCCTCCGCCGCCTCTCCGCCCGCCACCTCGACCGGCGCAGCGTGCGCACGCTCGCGCGCGCGCTGCGCTCGAACGGCTCGCTCGACTCCCTCAACCTCTCGTCGAACATGGTGTACGGCAGGGCCGCGTCGGACTTCGCGGCCGCCCTCGCCGGCCACGCCTCACTGACAGCCCTCGACCTCGACCACAATCCGCTCCTCGATGGGGGCGGCGCCGCCGTCGCCGCCGTGCTGCCCAGCACGCCGATCCGGTCGCTCTCGCTCTGCTTCACCGGCGTCGGCGACGCCGCTTGCGACGCCCTCGCCCTCGCGCTGGCGGGCGACTGCCGCTTGCGCTCCCTCCGCCTGAGCGGCAACCGGATCACCTCTTCCGGCGCAACCTCCCTCGCCGCCTCCCTCGGCAAGCTCGCCCACCTCGACCTGACTGCGAACGTTCGCCTCGACGGCGCCGCCACCGCCGCCCTCGCCATAGCGCTTCCCGCCTCCGCGCTCCGCTCGCTGCGGCTGTCGGGCTGCAACGTGGACAGGAAGGCGTGCAGTCGGCTCGCGGCGGCGCTCCCCCTCTCGCGCCTCGCCCGCCTCGACCTGAGCTCGAACCACTTCTCCGACGGCGGAAGCGACGAGCTCGCCTGGGTGCTCGGCGGGTGCGGCTCGCTCACGGCGCTCTCGCTCGCGGACTGCAACATTGGGGACGAGGGCGCCGACGAACTTCTCGAGGCGCTCGCCGACGCCGACGCGCCCCCCTCGGTCCGCAGCATCGACCTGCGCTGGAACAAGCTCGGGAGCACGCACCAGGGCGGGCGGGGCGTCAGCGGCGACCCGCGGGCGGACGCGAGCAGCCAGAAGCAAAGGACCGCCGCAGAGCGGCAAACCGAACACCTGGAGCACACGTGGCAGCAGGCCAAGGCGGCGGGCAAGCCGCAGAAGGTCTACGTGCCAAAGTGGCAGCGCGAGGCGCGCAAGGCCGCGGGCGGAGGCGGGGGCACGGGGCCGTCGGCCGTGGGCTGAGAGAGAAAGCGGATACAAAACCAGAACAGAAGCCACTCTCAGAACTTCACAAATTACTTCGTATGTTACAGTTCCGTAGGTGCCGGGGTGGTGTGGGAAGGCTACGTACCACCGAGACTGCAAGTAGCCCGAACCCAGGAGCTGTGTCCCATGCTCGGGGCTCATGGTTGTTGAAGCAGGGTCAGAATCCAGCAGCGCCTACGACAGTGCTGATTCGCACATCTCCGAATATTCCGAGGTGCACGAGTCGGACGTGGAAACAGCAGGAGCGGCAGCGCCGATGGCACAGCAGCTGGAAGAGGCGCTGACAATTTCCAGCTGCGATCCGACCGGGTCTACGAAGCTCGACGCAAACATCAACGAGACATTGTATTTTATGCAAGAATTCCAAACCGGCGGAAGTAAGGCGGAGGAGGCGGCTGAGGCGCCGGCTACTGCAGAGGAAGAGGCTGAGGGTCCGGCCACGCCGGCTGCTGCAGAGGAAGAGGCTGAGGCACCGGCCACGCCGGCTGCTGCAGAGGCAGAGGCACCGGCACGGGCTGCTGCCGCCCCGGCGGAGGGTCTCTCGAACGCCGAATTCCGCCGGTTCCTCCTCGCCCGCCCAAAGGGGCCACAGCCCGGCGAGCCGCCTGCACACGGCGAGTCGGCGGCGGCGAGTGTTTCCGGCTCGGAGCCGCCGCCCGCGCCGCTCCCGCCGCTCGAGTCGCCTCTCCGCGGGTATGCGCTCGACTCCTCCCACCTGCGCGCGGGCGGTGGCGTGAGTCGCCGGGCGGCGCTCAACCCTCTGGCGGACTGCTGGTCCCGCACGGACGCGCTGCCGAAGCTCTGCCTCCAGTTTGCAACCACCGGCCGGTGCGGCGTGCGGGGAGGGCAGTGCCGGTACTCGCACGCGGTGCAAGGCCAGCCGGAGGCCCTCCTCCACGCGGAGATCCGGCGGTCGGCCAACCGGCGCGGCGAGGCGGACGGGTGCGGCTGCGGCGACTTTGTGCCCCTCTCGCTCGGCAGAGCGGTGCTCAGCGCTCGCCCCCCGCCCGCGAGCGAGGAGGAGGAGGAGGCGGCGGTGGAGGAGGCCCTTTCGCTCGCGAGGCGGGCGCGCGAGGAGACGGGCGCACACAACCTCGAGGCGGCGCAGGCGAGCGCCGCGCTGCTGGCGCTGCTGGCGGAGCGGTACCAGCGGCCGGGCAGCGCCCCGCCCTCGCGGCGGCTGCGCAAGGGGCTGCTGCGGACCGCCGCGCTGCTGCACCGGGGAGGGCTAAAGTGCGACACGTGCGGGCGAGCCTTCGACGCCTGCTGCTTCTGGAGCCTGACTGCGCGGGTCGAGGTTGTGGCCGGCGGCCGGCGGCTGCTCTGCTGCGCGTCTTGCGCGAGGCGCGAGGGATTCTGGGACGTTGGCGATGGCGCGAGCAAGCTGTCGCGCGAGGCGCGCCTCTCTTGCTCCAGACCTGCCTCTCTCCCCACGCCTGCCCCTGCTCACACACACACACACACACACACACACACACACACACACACACACACACACACACACACACACACACACACACACACACACACACACGCACACACACACACACACACACACACACACACACTCCCTCTCTCGCGTGCAAGGCGTGCCACTTCTTCGCCGCCGGCGCGTGCCGCGAGGGAAGCCGCTGCCGCTTCGTTCATGTCGGCGCGCCGCCAAAGGCGCCGCTCGGCGCGTCCACCTACGAGCCGCGCCCGGGGCCGTCGCGCGTGAGCGTCGCGCGTGTGCCGCGCATGCGTTGCTCGCTCTCGCCGCACGGTGTGGCTGCGGTCCTGCCGGCGCAGCCGTGGGGCCTCGTCGTCTCGAGGGAAGGGTCCGCCCTGATTCGCCTCCCTGAGGGGTTGCTGCTCGCTGTGGACGGGGTCTGGTTCAGGGACGGAGCGCGGCTGGTCGAGTGGCTCTGCCAGGGCGGCGAGGAGGAGGTGCGGGTCGAGTACTACGCGCCGGAGGGAGCCTCTCAGCTTGCAGCAGCCTCCCTCTTCTCCTCGCAAGCTTCGCCGCCGGCCGCCTCCGCCTCCTCCGCCGCCTCCTCCCCGCCGGCAGGAGGCGGCTGGAACGCAGAGGCGGACATCGCCCGCCGCAAGCTTCTCTGCGCCTCCGCGCCTTCCCTCTGCACCTTCTCCGAGCCTCCCCCCGTAGGACCTCGCCCGCCGCAAGCAGGAGGTCTGCGGCGAGCTGCTCCGGAGCGCGACCTGCTGCCCGACTCACTCCCCCCTGCGCCGCTACGTCGAGCAAATGGTGCGGCGGGCCCGCGCCGTGTGCGACGGCGGCTGGGCGCCCCTCGTGCTTCGCCCCCTCGCGGCGCGGGCTGGCGTCAGTGGGCGGGGCCTCTCCGCTGCTGAGATGTGTTGACCCGCAGAGCCGGCTGGGTTCAGGCGCTCACCGCCGAGTGCGAGGCGGAGGCTGCGTCGCTCCAGCCGCCCGAGGGGGACGCAGCGCTGCGCCGGGCCATCGTCGAGCGACTCGAGGCGCACGCGCAGACCGTCGCGCCGGGGAGCAGGCTTCGCGTGTTTGGCTCCTCCAGCTGCGGGCTCAACGCGGCAGGCGCCGACCCGGACATGAAATCTCGGCTCATCTCGGCTCCATCTCGGCTCCATCTCGGCTCATCTCGGCTCCATCTCGGCTCCATCTCGGCTCCATCTCGGCTCCATCTCGGCTCCATCTCGGCTCCATCTCGGCTCCATCTCGGCTCCATCTCGGCTCCATCTCGGCTCCATCTCGGCTCCATCTCGGCTCCATCTCGGCTCCATCTCGGGTCATCTCGTGGCAGGCGCCGACCTGGACCTGACGCTCGAGACTCCGAGGGCGATGGGGCACACGGACAAGGCTCCGGCCCGAAGGGCGGGGGCGGGGGGGGCGCGGCTTCCTGCGGAGATCTCGCGGCCCTTGCTGCGCAGGTGCAGCTCGTCGACGGCTTGGCAAGGATCCTCGGCTCGCGCTCCGGCTGGGAGGGCGTCGAGGGCGTGGCGCGGGCGCGAGTCCCGATCGTCAAGTGCGTCGACTCCGACTCGCGCATCCCTGCGGACATCTCGATCGACAACCGCCGCGCGCGCGCCAAGACGGCGCTGCCCGCGTCGTACTCGCCGAGAGCCCGTTGCAGGGCATGTCCACGCCACGTCCTTGCCGTGCCGGCTAGGCGCTCCTCGCGTCGTACGCGCGGTGCGACCCGCGCGTGAGGACACTCCTCTTCGTGGTCAAGCGGTGGGCCGCCCGCAGGGCCATCAACGACCCGCGCGCGAGCTTCCCGAACAGCTACACCTGGTGCCAGCTGCTGATCGCCTACCTGCAGCTCTGCTCCCCGCCCGTCCTCCCCTCCCTCACCTCCCTCGCCGGCGGGGAATGGTCCGACGCCTGGTCGGCAGACCCGCTCCTCGTCCTGCCCGCCCTCGACGAAGGCGGAGACGGAGGCGGCGAGGGCGAGCCGGAGCGAGCGGCGCACGAGCTGAGGCGCGACCACGCCGCCGTCCTCGAGGCGGCGGCGGCGGTGGCGGCGGCGTCGCGCACCTCGCAGGACGTCGGCAGCCTGCTCTCCGGTTTCTTCCACTTCTGGGCGGACTGGCTCGGCGAAGGCGGCTCGGGCAGAGGCGGCGCGCTGGCGCAGTGGTGGGTGGTCTGCACGCGGATCGGCGCGCCGCTGCAGCAGGCGGACAAGGCGTGGCCCGAGGGGGCGGCGGGGAGGGAGTGGCACCTCTTCCCGATCGAGGACCCGGTCGACGAGGACCACGACCTCGGCCGCGTCCTCACGCCGCGCTCGCTCGCCGTGCTCAAGCAGGAGCTGAGCCGGGCGGCGCAGACGCTGGCCGAGGGCGGCACGCTCGAGCAGGTCCTGAGGGAGCACCAGTAGTATCTCGAGCTACGCTCGGCTGTACAGGTATAGACCGTACTCAGTCTTACATTTGTACGCGTTCGGTCGGGGCCAGCTGGCCAGGCGCCTGCGAGGCGGGCCAGCGGCAGTACGTGTTTTTTTTGCGGTGTCGGTGTGTTAGAGTCGTACACGTATCGCCGACGCCCGACGGTATCTAGGTACGTCTACGTACACACCTGTGTACAACTGGTAGTGAAGTCTCGCTCGCTCTTTCACACTCTCAGAGGGCGCCCATGGCAGCGCCGCACTCACACTCACGCGCACTCAGAGCTGCAGTGCTCCCCGAGCGCAGCCCCTTGGAGTGTGAAGGCTTCGTAGCCCTCCGGGGTCTACTAGTCGACTACTGAAGATCTGCAGGATTGGACACCTCTGTGTCTAACAAAGACTTAAGTCTATACACTACCGCGAGACCAGCCGCTCCTAGCGATCGCTGGCCCTCTCTAGAGATCGCGCGCTCATAGCAACCGAGGAAAGAGACCACATTCCATCGGGTCGCCCGCCTGCAGCCCGCCCGTGTACGGCGGGCTGATCTCCCACCGGCGGGGAGCAAAGCGCGCGTCGTCGCCCATCCAGCGTGTCGTGAGCACGCGGCGGCTCCTGCTCTCCGAGGCGTTGCCCACCGCGCCGTGCAGCGTCTTCCCGGAGAAGAGGACGCAATCGCCGGGCTGCAGCTGCCAGCCGAGCAGCTCGTGCTCGTGCGGCGCGTCTGCGATGGCGGGCATCGTGGGAAGCTCGTCGCTGCCGTCGTAGTTGCGCTGCGTCTCGAACTTGCGAGGCGCGCAGAAGCTCTACCTTGAATA